GTCGCTACACGCAAACAGTTTTCCAAATGAACATCAGTAATTCGTGTTCTCACTTGTGATTTGATGTACTTCATGCGACTAAAAAGTTGTTCACACGCATAAGTGTTTCTAAATAGCGAAACCATCGACAGAGCATGTTTGTAAAACGCAGGATATTTATCCTTGTCCAAATACATTTCATAGAATTCTTCCAAACCTTCTTAACTCTTCTAATGTTCATTTGGTGATATGTACAATAAAGTTAACATTTACGTTCATTTGACCAAGCTCCGCGGGCCGCAACACGACTCCAGGCGGGCCGCATGCGGCCCGCGGGCCTCATGTTGGCCACCCTTGTCTTAGAGCAAACCACATTCACAAATAAAGAGTTTGTGATGTACTGTAAACATCACCAAATTGTAAACTTGTACATTTATAAGTATGTACTATATGTACATGAATTTGTATATTTAGATTACTTTTTCTGTACTGTATTAAAGACTAAAATTTATTTGTTTGTAAGCTTAAAATATATTCTTATTAACCACATATTATTAAAAATGCATTTATAAATAAAATACAGAACTGGGAATGGTTATTTGTGGTTTAGCCTAGTGACGAGTAAATTCGGAGACAAGTAAATTCAACTTAAGTCATTTCTCCTGGAACCAATTACCAATGTAAGGCGAGGCATACCTGTATTTGATATTTATATACACAATGTTGTTTGCACAAGTAATTGAGAAAACAAAGACAGAATGCTAGTTTATAAAGTAGAAAATGCATAGAAATGATATTCTTATTGATTTATTTTTTACTTTCCCACTTATATAACACTATTGGGAAATTGACTGATCGCCATACTTTCCCAGTCAAAAAATGACCCTTCAAGACTGTGGAATGGACATTTTTGGATTTGGAACATCTTGAAATGTGAAGAAATGCAAGAAAAGTTTGGGAGTTTTTTCTGTATGTATGGATGTCAGTGTGAGAAGTACAGTTTTGTTCACCTACTTTGAAGCTTAATAACTCCTGTGCCTTTTGTCAAAAAAAGATTTTTAAAATAAAATGTCATAACAGATGGCATCACATGCAATTTTAAATGTTTTTTGCTGGAAAAGCTACACAACTTGTTGCAGGATTTTCTTGTAATTAATACTTAATTTTAAATATGTATAATGTATGTATAACAACACTTTTACTATAAACTTTATTACCAAATTTTTATGATTAGTCCTATTGAAGATGTTTAGATTAAAAAAGAATTTAAAGGTAAACAAAGTAAGGCTTAGAATTTAACAATTGTCGAATATTTCTTATTCAATGTTGACAATATTCAGCTTTTATCCTCTGAATAAATATTAATAGTGCATCTACTAACATAATCAGTTCTATAATCTTTTTAACTTGACAATAAACAAAGCTTGATTGATGAAATCTTGCAAGCAAAAGCTGTGTCAAACACTTTCATATTTGAAGATATCTGATGTTAAGTCTGAATGAATTGATTGCATATTTTAGTGTTGCTAGCTAGATTATTGAGTCGGTTGATTAAAATATGGTGCATTAAGAATTATAACTCAACTAACATCATTTTATTTGCAATAAAAAGATTATTTTACGTCTTTGTTCTAGAATGATATGTGAAATTTTCTGTATTCTTCCATAACGACTATAAATAAATACAATGTTTTCTTTGATATTGAAAAAGAATATTCAAAACTTTTTTGCATGAGTTTTTTTTATCTCTTTCGTATAGTTTATTATTAACTTTTTATAGCTTCTAGTAAATTATCAATATGTTTGTAGGCATATGTAAAGCCATTGTATATTTTTGAGTGTTAAAAACAATGTTTATTTTCCTAAGATTAAAAGATATATTCATGTTTATTTGACAGTTTTTTGGGCCTTTGATCTACTGTACTGTCTTTTCATTTGTCTATCTAATGTATTTTCAAAGAATTTTTTAATGTTAATTATTGTATATCTAGGTTTTTGAAATTTTCTAGGAAATTCGGTTAACATTGCCACACCATTGTATAAATTGATAATCATTTTCCTCTATGTATCTTTGATACTTTGCTTTTCTATTAACACATTTATAATACTGTCAGTTGTTACATTACTGATATTTCTTGCTCTGGTAACAATTTGCATGGGCATACAGTTTGGCTTTGTCTTGGTCTATTTTTGTATTGATGCATTGCCAATATTATTTGCTGCATTAACAATGTAAGGTGATGTTTTGTATCTGTGCTATTGATAATTAATTCTGTAGCAATGAATTATTCTAATGATACTCTATAAAATCATAATTTAAATATAAATTTTTTTATCCTTTTATTTGACCTACTAAATTATAACTTCAAACATCTCAACATTGATAAATTGTATGATAAGTGACAGCTATAAAAGAACTTTTGTATTAAATTAATGAAAATTTTTGATATGGTTTTATTTTGACAAGTTAGAATTTTAGAATTTGTTTTTTGAAAATAATTTGTTGTAATGGTCAGATTATCCAATATAGTTCCAAAATTCTGTTTTATTTATCCACTTACTGTTTAGAAATGTTATGCAAAGATTTATTTTACTATCATCATTTAATTTCAAAGGTATACGATGATAATTTTAATTTATACAAATGTTACTTTAATAACCATAACCTGTAGGTTATATGCAGAAAATTATCTTTGTTTAAAAGGAATTTCAAAAGCAGGTTGAGGTTATATGCTGATTTTAAATTGCAACTTTGAACTCATCAAATAGGTTATAACAATAGCAGATCCAGAAATTATTAGAGGGAATGCAGAAAGGAAACAATATACCTTACAAAATTTTTTACTACCTGAGATACCATTCGTACCTGAGGCTTTCTCATTTACTTGAGTGCAGCTGTCCTATGCATCTTGTTAAATCTTCCCTGGCTTACAACTGTTTATCCCCTTTATATGAGACCAAATAGCAAATCACATTCTGGAAATAGATGAGAGTAGTCATTTAAATTTTGTGGTGATCAAAAAAATTACTGTGAATTTATGTTACAAGTAATGCAATGTAGATGTATGATCGGTTTTTGATTATCCAGTATATTTTTAAGACTGTTGATTGGTATAATCATATATTTTAGATGTGAAGATAAATGTTTAGATATAAATCAATTGAATGGCCTCTCATTTCAACTTATAGTGAATGCTTATATTTATACAGTAGTCACAACTTTTTACTAAGTCTATTCATAATGTCTTTTGGTCAACAAAAGATGAGATAAGAAGAACAAAAATAAATACTGTTTTTAAATTAGCAATATTTCCTATTTATAACAATAAAATTTTGTAGATTTTTAATTTATAATTCAAAATTCACATTTACTAATTGAATTTTTATGTTCTTTTTAGTTGAATAAAAGGTTTGTTGTAAGTTATCTTCATGTTCATGGCAAGCTCTTTACAAAAATAGGGTAAGTATTACTATTTACTTTTTGTAACTTCTTATTTCTCCCTCCCATTTAACAAAATTCAAATATTTTAGTATTATATGTGTTCGATATTTACTTTAGCTAATTTTATTGTTGTGACATAAGAAAATGGGAAATATTTCAACTGTTCAAAATTTTTAAACTCTGGAATGGGATATGAAGTGTATATGTAATCTAGCATAGCTTTCATGAGTCCTCTTTAATCAATTATTAAAAGAATAAAATTATTTCAGTTGCAAATTGAAGGACTGTAGCATTATATCATAATCCATTAATGAAAGACCTGTATTATTTCAGTAACTGTTCATTACAGCAGCCATCAACCATTGAAAACCAAATTTTGAAGGATTATATCTGTAGTTCATATATCCACTAATGTAATTGCTGTATTTTCTTATAAATTTCAATGGAACAAAAATTAGTAAAAATTAATAGTAAACATATTGTAAGACATTTTGGTTTAATTATATATGAATAAATAGTTTATATTAGAATTTCTAAATATATAAAATTAATTTGAGAATGAATTACAGTTACAATCTTTTGCACTTAACAAAACATAACGCAGCAATTAGAGGTTTAAAATTGAGCAGAATTGCTTAAGATCAAATAACGTGCTTATATTAAATCAAATAGCAGAAAGAGAATTAAAAAATAAGCTTTCCATTGTCACTTTTGATAAAAGAATATACACAATATTGTATTGTATGCAATGTCCAAATTTTCATTTATATTAAATAAAAATTTGGAGAGATAATAGTTGCCATTCATATGTAAATTAACCTCATAGCTCATTAGTAGAAATATTTATATTTTGTTTATAAAATTATTTTGTCAAGCATTATAATTGACATTAATAAATTTGCAAATTCTTTTGAAGATGTGATTTAACAACATGCTCAGTGTATTTTTAGGAATAAAGTTTAGATTAGCCAGTCTACAAGGCTAGTTTGTCACTATTGCAACTTATAAACATCAGCTGATAACAAGAAAATAATAAATCTTCTGTAACATTCAGTAGTGTATACTAATCCACAGTCTGGATATTATAAAAAATAATAATAAAGATGATTTTTATTTTATTGTATTTATTAACTGGCTAGAGGAAATATTTAGTTGGATGATGGATCAGATAAAACTGTCTTGCAAAGAATGCCAATGCCAATCACAAACTACAATTAAATTAATATTGATACAATTGGCATTAGCCTAACATTAAACAATAGAATGAAATGTATTAAAATTAATCAACTGTCATAATTAATCTTTTAGGATACTTATAAATTTAGATTTATATATCTTTCTGTTCTTACATATGATAGAAATATGCTCATCTGTTATTTTCTAAGTGGATTGTAGGTAACTATTTAGTAAAGGTAGAAGCTTATTTTGCTTAATTTTCAATACAGTTTCAATGGAAATTTTAGGAAACATTTTAAAATGTTATTTTCATAATTATGCCATACATTACTTGTGGTTCCTAGTTTAAGAATAAATATTGACTAATTTTTTTGTAAAAAAACACTATTGAGTAGCATTAAATCTTCTGATTTTTTCCAAGAAAAAAATGCTATAATGATTAATTAATTTGGTGGGAATTAAAATTAACAACAACAACATGTTGTTATTAAATGCCATTTGCACAAAATTTAAAAAATAATTTTTTAATACAATTTTGTGTAATTTTAAGTACAAAAAGTGAAAAAGCGAAGCCATTAAGACTATTAATTATATGAAACTCATTATTAAATTGGTATAATTGAGGATTATTATTCAATTCAATTCAAATTTATTAACATATAAGGCCTTAGCCTCTTACAGGGGGTACTTATTTTACATTTTGTTTTAACTTAAAGAACAAAGACTATTAAATTTACATTTTATATTTTTAGTTTTTAGCATGTCGAAATAATTTAAATCTTAACAATCATTTTTAGTATTTAAAACCTTTTCCTCTTAAAACCTTTGGCTATTATACTCTTGTAATGTTTGTCAAATGTTAAATTAGGAGTGAATATTATCCCCAAGAATTTACTTTCATTTACTATTTTTATTTCTCTTTTGATATAGAAAGACATTTATTTTTTCGGAGGGTTGCTTCCATTTCTAAAAATCATTATTTCTGATTTTTTCGGGTTTATTTTAACTTTTAGGTTTTCTAAGTAGTCAACTATCTGTTGAATTTTTCTTTGTAACTCTGCAGCAGTAGGAGCCACTATAACTATATCTTCGGCATATGATATTGAGTGTATAATTAAGTTATCAATATAAATTCCATCCTCCTGTTTTATGAAACAATTGTTTAGATCAAATAAATAAAAATTGAACAAGTAAGGAGAGAAGGGATCCGCTCTGTAATAGACTTCTATTTGTTGTAAAAGGCATCCAGCATCTATTGTTTTGTTTAATAATTATCTCATAACTACCATATAATAGGTCTATCATTTTTATCAAGTAATTACTTGCTTTATATTTATTCAATAATTGAGGATTATTAAGGATTGGCTGAATTTACTCGAAGGTAAACATTTAAATTTATCCAATTACTGCAAACTATTTTATAATTCCAGCTCAGAAAGGCACTACTGAATTAGTTGATAAGTGCTGTCTGAAGATAATGACTAATCATTATTATTTTTAGATTGTAGGTAACTATTTAATGTGTTTATTTAAGGCTTTTTACATACTTCAAATGAAATTTTAACAAAAAATAATTCTAATGTAGGTTTTATGTAGTGGTGCATGAAAAATAAATTCCTCCATAATAATAAATACTCTAAACGTAACACTTGTTTATAATTTAAGCTAAATAAAGTACAGCAAATAAATGCAATTACATGACTTCACATATTATTATTAAAAATATTTATTTTTTCTCTTGAATATTTGTTAATAAACTGTAAAATTAGTTAACATGTTTGTAAGAATGTTTATTATGAATAAAATATAATTAGTTCACATTTTTCATTTATAAGAATTTATTGCCATTGACAGAATTAATTTCTTAACTGTAAAGAACTACAGTTTTTGGTTTCTTTAATTTGTTATATGCAGATTTAAAAACACATTAGGGTTTTGCTCAACAAATTACATTTATCTTCAGCATTTAATATGTAAGAGGATCATATAAAATAATTATGTTGTGTCATTAACACCATTAATGATTATGTGGAAACTGATCTAAAATGTACAATAGAACCTCTATTATCTATTATTGTATTAACTGGGATGTCAGAAATACATATGGATGAGTCATTGAGTCATCACAAATTGCTCTGTGACTCATTTGCTTTACAGACTATCGGTCAGAAGAGGGGGAGGGGAATGATACACTTTGCCGAAGTGTCCAGTTTATTATAAGGTAGTTGTATGGGTTGTTCTCTTCACATTTCTTGGAAAATGATCTGTTTTGTGTACTGGGTACAGGACTTAAATGGTACTGGATTGGTAAATCAACATTTTTCTGTTCATCCCAAACAATCAAAGTATTGTAAATGTTTTACATTTGATTAATGAGCTTTAGAAGCATTGAATTCAGAAATATCACATTAATTCGTATGCAAGTTACTTAGATTTTTGGGAAAAATTGGACAGGAAATAAAAGTGACTAACGTTTAATAGAATTTATTAAAGAATAAAAAGAAAGTTAATGTATTTAAAATTAAGTATAATTAATAGAAGATACAAAATAAAGAGGAAGTACAATACAATTGGCTTATTGTAAATATTTCTTGACTATATAGATAATAATAACAGACTAGTAACTTTAAATGGAATAATTAAATATGAATACATTTAGTGGAAATCTGATTTTATTGACCCCAGCACTAAAAAGATATGTTATACAACAAAAAATGGAGATTTATTAACTAATAGTTGATTTGTCCAGTGTTGCTTTCTGCTTTTTTTTAATAACTTATACTATCTTTAACACTAACTAGTGCATAACCAATGTAAGAAAGGCCAGCAATTTATCATTTAAAACGTTGGTTAACGCTAATGACTAATCTAACAATTAACGACTAATTGAAGTTCTAACAGCATGAAAAGACTGCTTAAAATTGCCTTTTTATCTGAAGGTAATAGTAACTATAACCAATTTCTGATTATGATAAGCAATTTTATAAGTATATTTTAACTTCAATATTTTGGGACTTGCTGATACTGGTAACATTAAAAGACTGTTAACAATATTCACTATTACAAGAAGACATTCTATCATACCATGAAATTTTCATTACATATGGAGTTTCAAATAATGACAAAAAGTATTCTAAATTGTAAGAAACACTTTAAATTTATGATATATCCCATCTTTAAGTGTAGTTTTAAATTCAAATGAACATTTTTATATATATACAATTAAAACAATGTGTTGAGTTCTGCATCAATTAAAACTTTTCAATATAATCCACAATACTACAAATACACAGTTTAGAACAGTTTTGTGTAAGGTGTTGTCTACAATCCAATATCAGCCATGTCAAAAGAAAACTATGGTAAAATGTAATTGACAGTTGACTGACTAATGCCAGTATTCACAAAGATCAAGCATTAAAGTTAGAAGTTAACCGATAAGTGTTTGCATGCTAAAAGTAAAGTGAATAGTAATTGGTTAACTTCTAACTCTAATTCTTGATCCTTGGTTGTGAATACAAATATAAAAGATAAATACTTACAAAATGCTATTGTTTAATCACAAACAAATGAAAGTTCTTTTACGTGAATGTTTATTTGTGTATAAGGAACCCTTTTGGTCAATCTTATGTCAGTAGCATCTAGAAGCTGCTACTGACATAAGATTGGCCAAAAATACTCCTTATATGCAAATAAACTTTGTCTCTCAAAAAAGGTAATTAGTTGTACATGAATTGTAGATGAGTATTTTATAAATTACAAATTCTTGTTCACTTCTTTCTCTTTTAAAATTATATTTTAATATCTTTAAATTTAGGATCATTTATTACTTATTACATTTTTCTTCAAAATATTTTGATGGCATTATACTTAATAGATTTTGTTTTTTTTTATCTGTGATTTTATTAAGTATGACATAAACTAGATATCATCAAAATATATTCTGAAATATTCTTAGTTAGTTACTATTTAAGTTTGTTTTTTTTAATTATGTATGCTTATATTTTGAAATAGCAAATCAACATGATAATGAAATTATTTTAAAAAATATCTTATTTTTTAGTATGGAATCCTTTAAAGAAACTGCTAGCAATATGCTGAGGGAGTTCCGCAGTCTGTTACAGCGTACGCCATCGCCCATGGGTCCCTTGAGACTGTTGCAATTGCTTGTGATAAATATGTTTGCAGTAGCCAATACATCATTAAAAGGTAAGTGATTTTGCTTAATATAATCTGCTAAGTTAATAATAAATATAATTTAATAATTCCATAAAAATAACGAATATTATCATTAAAGTTCTGAACCGTTGTGAATTGTCATTCAGTTTATAATTGAATTGAACTTAGTGTTATCACAATCACAAGTAAATTTTAAAGGTCTCCTTTAAGTGTAATGTTTTTAATTTGTTCTTAATTCTGATAACAAATAACTAAATGCTGTCATTCATTACAATGTTCAAAAATTCAAGAAAATCTTGCTAAAGTACAAGTTTAAATTATACATATGCAGTTTAAATTATACATATGCATACACGTCTTATGCCTTCGCTTTACAATCAGTTCAGCACATAATGAAATTAGTTTGATAGACAGTTGCTGCTAACCAGACCTCAAAGGTATAGTAGATAAGTTTAGTAATGCGAATACAGTAAGACCACGCTTAACGCTGCCTCAGTTAATACTGATTCGATATAATGTGGTCTGCTCGAAGTCTTAAAAGAAAGCTCAAAATTTATGCTGATTCAAATTATTGTGGCATTTCGTTTATTCATACATAATACGATTATTTATGAACATGAACCAATCAGCAAAAGATGACAATTCATTGTAGCACTGTACTTTCTTTAAATCTATATATCTAATCTATGTATGTTTGGTGCAATTTTGGAAAAAATATAACATTGTGGATGCCGTAGGAAATATTGACTTTGCTTGGCAAGAAGTAACTGATAAATGCACAAATGAAGTGTGGAAAAAGTTATGACTGAAGGTATCCAAGAATTCTCAACGAGAAGAGCCTATTGCTATATTATTTGGTTGACCAAATTGTCGACCTAATCAATACAGCAGGACTAGGAGATGTAGATGAGCAGGATATTGAGGAGTTACAGCAGGTTTCTGGTGAGAGCCTTACTAACGACAACCTTCAACAACTGGAAGAACAAGGAATTCATGTAGAACTGGAAAATAGAGATTCTGAAAACAAAGAACCCAAAGAATTTCTCTACAGGTTTCCTTAGTAAAAGTTTGGTAATGATAACTGAAATTGTTGATCAAATTGTAGCGAATGATCCAGATTTTGAAAGGAGTGCACGAGCAAAACAAGGCATTGTGGATGCAATCTTCTGCTATCGACATTTGCTTAACAAGAGGAAAAAAGTGACAAGTGAAACTACATGACTTTATCACAAAAAGCAAGAATTTCAGAAAAGCCACAACCTTCATCACAAAAAATGAACTTTACATTTTTGTGTGTATATGTTTGTGTATTATTTAACATATATTATTATGCAAATTAATATAAAAATAACTTAAAATTAAAGTAAAATCTGTTTATTTTTGATTGTATGTTCCCCTTTCCCTATTTACTCTATGTTAAAATGGCCTCATTTAATGCTGTTTCATTTAACGCTTTGTCATCTAGGAATACATCCCACGCATTAAGCGGGGTCTTACTGTACAAGTGTTTTAGATAACCTTTATTTGTAATTTTACACATTTCAGTTAAAAAAAGAAAATAGTGGTTCTTATGATGATCTAATAATTAATTAATATGATGTGTAAAATTATTGTATTGTATTGTAAGGTAAATTGTATAGATCACCTTTTGGTATAAAAATAGGTTAGTTCTTTGGTGGACATTTTTGTTTCCAAGCTCTCCGACACACAACAAAACACAAAGCATTAGTGAGTTCATACATTTTTGAAACACAATGCACTCTAGAATATATTAATGTTGTGAAAAATGGTCATTACTTTGCAAGTGTACAGTGTGTACAGTCATAATGTGACATTGCTACTAGTGTAACACACAAACATTTATTCATTGAGAAATTTGAGAAATAAAACTAATATTATACAATATTAAAATTTGGTTTGACTGGATATTAATATTGAAGTACAATAAATAAAGACAAACTTAATGTAATGGTTTTATTATAAAAACCACTTTAAGAATGCATTGTGCAACTTTAGTTAAATAGTGGAAATGGGAGACAAGTATGGACTCATTCATGGTGCAGTGTTTTTAGTTTAAATTTACATTTTTGTTAGAAATCGATTTTAATTTTTATATAAACTATTATTTCTTTAATTGTTTTGCTGGTTGATTGAGCTCTGGTTAATGGGGGATCTACTGTATTAATAAATTTTGATTGCGCTTAAAGTATCTAAATATATAGAACATCATAACAAAATTAAATTTGAATTAATTCTGGTTTATCATATTTATCATATGACAATGATTTTAGACTTATTTTATATATAAATATTAATAAAAAAAATAAGTATATAAAAGTAACAAAAGTTTATCCTCATTACAGCAGTATTTTCATGCTTAAAAAAAACGCGTATTCTGCAGCAAAATGTGATAATTTTTGTCAGAAAACAGTTCTTGATTAAGTTTAGTCATGTTAATTTATATGCAGGGCAGTTTCGAAATAATGTAGTAAAAATGATTTGCCATTTATAAGATAAACGCTATTATTGGTCACGGTTTGTCAATGTTTAGATACAGGAATATTTCAAACATTTAGTGTATTTGGTAGGAAAATTACAACGGTAAATTAGAAGCAATTTGGGGTGGGATGTTTGAAAGAAGTCAGCTTTTTTGTAGCATAGATGATTGTGCTTTTAAGTTATATTTGATATCAGTTGACAGATTGTGACCAAAATCATCGTTTATCTCAAATAGCCAATTTGCGGACCTATTTTTATTACGACTTAAAGTTTATACACTGCCTATTTTTATGAGTAGATGATATCTCACTTCACCAATACTTATCATTACATGACGAAATCTTATGATAAATAAGCATTGTAACAACTTCTTATGTATGATTAAAAATAAAATATATTTATGTGCATTTAAATTATTAAGAAAACATTTTCTGGAAAATGGATTTCTATTTTTGAAAATATAATTTTTTTAAAATTAAGGAAAAACTTCAAATTTAACACAAAATTTCAATGACTTTTGCATTTTTATAGTAAGAGAACAGGTCTATTCACTTTTAGTTCTGTAATCACAAGAAAAGGCAGAATATGGTTTACAAAAATGCAAAATTAGAGAAGAACACAACATCTTTTCTTTAATTTTGTTCATACTTCTCTGATTAAGAACTTTCTGAGAATGAACGTTTCAAAAAATATTTCAATAAATTTGAGTACTGACATCAAGAGTTGACCTCTTGAACCCAAAAAAGTTTGACTATAATTGTACAACCTAACTGTTATAACAGTTTGTTGTTCTAAGATACTATGAATTATTATTCAAATGTATAAAACAGTTCTATTGATAGATGATGTAAAATTTTTATGGTATGATATTTATCGTTCTCTTACTTTCCTAGTTGTTATACTTACATAAGGGAATCGTGTCAAATTTGAACTGCCGAGATTTTTGCAAATCTCCATGTTTTGAGACCTATCGAACCCAAAAAAAGTTTTCATAACAAAATCTCGTAATAGATGGCACCACACACGGTTTTATTTATTATATTGTCATTAAAAATACAAAAGTTTTCTAAGTGTAATCTCATAACAGCCAGGAAAGTCTTGTTTCTGTTGCTGTCCCTTTATTAAACCTGTACATTACAGATATTTAATGTAAATAAAATTCTGATTAAAAAGTAGGATTTGCATTTTAGTTAACATATGCATTTATTATTATTAAATGATTTATGTTTTACTTCATATATTTAATCTATGGTGTATTTTTGGAGCATAAAAATTATGTGAACTGGCATTTTTTCATACTATCATTAAACGTCGTACACTCTCAAATTAAATATTTAACCGATTACATCAAACATTGCACAAGTTCACATTAAATGTTTCTCATGGTTTAACGTTGACGAAAACGCAGTAAAACTATTGAAAACAGACTCTACAAAATGGAAATGTGCCCAAATGGAAAATAAATTTCAGAACATAATGATTTGCTGCATAAAATAATAATGTAAAGCCAGAAACCTGTCTAATGCTAAGACACAGAAGACTTTGGAAACTAGTTGCATGACATAAACAAACTTGGAATTTTTTGATAATTAAATTCTAAACTATAATTAATAGTGTCTCCAAAGACTCAGATTATGATTGACTTCTTGGTAAAGGAATTATAATCTATTACTTTTTCTTGATTAAGGTTATGTCTTCATTATCTGGAAAGTACTCATGATATTAATGTTGTCATTTCTTGCAATATTAATAAAGAATTAGTTAATAAAGATACAACTCCATGAATAGAAACCTGTCAATAAAGAAAATTATGGTTAATGTTTATCTTGAAATTTTCAAGAAATACATATAAAAACAAAAGAATTACATTGTGTTAATACAAAAGAATATTAATTGTGTATTTAACCTTGTTGTCATCTGTAGTCTTCAAGTTAAGATTTACCTTTATAGTGATTTAATCTTTATAAATTCTCTTAAATATATGAGGTTTATTCATCTTAATTGAGATAAATTCTTCTGCTATTTTACAATTATTACATTAAAATTGTACCTTTTTTTTGTGGATAAATTGATCGTGTATTATCGATGCAAATAAAATACATTCTCTTACTTTTTTCTGCATCATATGTTTAGAATGATGACAAATTTAACATTTCATTTGAAATTAGCCACATAGTTTCTGCAAAAGGAAATCTTATCAAACAAAAGCATTTAACATTAACGGTGTCCCCGTTAACATCTCCATGCCCACATTAATGTGATGATAAATTTACTTTGAGTCTGCTCAGTTCGTGTTCTACAATTTCATGCACTTCTTTGGATTCAGATGTCTTATTGATCTTCTCTCTCACCAAATGGAATGCAGCTTTGTCGGCAAACATTAAACCAGAGGTGGCGAACCTATGGCACACGTACCCAAAGTGGCGCATAAGGAGAAATCATCTGACGTGTAACATATCTTATGATTTTGATTTATGCATCTGTCTTTTTCACTCAGCTTTTTACTTTTATTCTAATTAAAGCATATTCTTTTAATTTCTTTACCTATCGTTATTCAAAGTCTAAAACTTCGAATAATGATTGTATAATAATGGTACGTGCAAACATTTTTAAAGCTAAGTATGCTTACTATATGGCATGCAGATGCCAAAAGGTTAGCCATCCCTACATTAAACTATCCACAAACGTTTCACTTAGCTACATTATGTGAACTAATCTTCTGTTATAAAATCACAACACTGGAAATTTAAAAGTGTCTTGATGAATTATAAATTCTGAATTTTTCTTGCCCAGCACTAATTAAATGACTTCTTGGACAAGAATCATACAGCTCAATGTTAATGTCTGGTAAAACATTTGTAATTATCTGCGAATAAAATCAAATTATCATCCGATATGAAAAATGACCGACAAATAATCTTAGAGATCTGAAATGAGTAAGAGAAACCTTGAAACTTTGAACCATGCACTGTTAATATACCTATAATTTCCTGTAATGATGAGAAATTGCCATTTTTAAAGGCGTAATAAATCAAAAAAATGACCAGAGACGGTAATAAATGTAGGAATCTGTTGATAGTTTATACATTTTCTTCCAAGTGTCAATATACTTTAGTTTTCTTTTCTATATTTTAAGTAAAGTTTGCAATATTATTCATATTTTTGTAGTAATTAATAACACATTAACCTACAATTCCCATATTTTAGGAGAGATTTTAATTATTGTATTTCCATGTATCTGCATTTGAACATACCAGCAGAAAATGTATTGTGTTTGTGTGCGTGTGTACACATTTCTGTACTGTGGGGATTAAAATGCCTTCTTTTTTAGCTTCATATTGAGCCCATAATCTCATTAAAATACTTTTTTTCCCATGAAAATGTCTTTTATGACTTATACCATTAAGATGAGATAATTTTTTTCTTACCTTAAATTCATTTTTATTTTCTTATTTATCAGATTTTGAGAGAAGTCCCTTTCCATGTAGCTTTAAAGCAAATTTCATTAAGTCTAGAATTAATTTTCTTTATTAATAAGTTTAAAACCTGATATTTATGTGGCAAAAACATTATTAAATGAGTCGTCTCCTCTACACGAATAAGGAGAGACGTGTCCTCGTACAGCATAAAATAATAAATATAAAATTCTCGAATTTATTCGAATTTAATTATATATATATACTCCTGCAGGATCCTCCAGTACCGGTAAGCAAATAGGAATGGAAGGTACTTTTATTCCCCTACGTGAAAACTTGACGTCTGGGCACTTTAAACTAAGTGAAAATCACAAAAGAAAAGTGTTAGAAAGTCAAGTCGAGTGTGAAATGTCTCGAGAAAGGAATAAATTTAATGGAAAACGTAATTATCTTACAAGCAGGGATCTTGCATAATGAGAAAATTTCAAGAATTTGGATTTTTTTGAGGAAAATTTGACCGTTTTAATATACATTTCGCCATCCCCCGATACGGATGATGCGGATTCGTCATTAACTCGCACCGAATTGCCCCTCTCGTGTCAGTTAAAAGTTCATTTTTTTGGCAAATTGGCAGTTTTCTTGGACCTTTCCTTCTCTTTAAAAATGCTAAATTAATATAATTTCGCTAGGAAGGTCATCGAATTATTATTTTTTTTCTGTTTAATTTACTTCTGGTATAATTATTTATGGGGAGCAACAAAAGGGTAATGCGCGGCTAAGACAATTAACGAGGGTCAATCGAAGAATAAACAAAAATTTATTAATACTCGTAACATTACTCTGACCCTAGGAAATATCTCGGGCATCGTCTTTACATGCGAATTGTGTAACTATAGCAGGTTTGTTGTTTGTTGTAGAATGAGGAGAAGAAGAAGAAGAAGGGGGGAGAAAAACCTTATAAAACTGGTATGCGGTTGACCTTCACCCGAGGGATTGTTGGCTGTGTGAAGGTCATTTGAAGGCCGGCTGTTGCCTGCTCGAGGATTTTGTAATGCAAGATGCGTGCAAATGCTGAAGGTAGTATCGAGGAGATTTTTAATTTATTATTCTCATTGGCAGGAAAGCTGTTGTCGAGTCGAGACACTAAAAAAAGGGGGTGTGTTTTTTGTCTCTCTCACTCTCTCTCTCTTCTTCTCCATCCCTTAGCATTCTAACACGGTACTCTGCTTAATTGTAACTATGTTTTATTGGTTTGTAATGTTTACCTGTCAAAGCGCAACGATGAATGGCATCTAGCAGAGGGGATTAACACCCCTTTGCAAACAGCTGGATGAATGTCTCCTCTGTTCTTGACCAGCAAAAAAATAAGAAAAAAAAAGAGTCGAAATTTCTCGCCCTTATCAGAAACACAATGGGGAGAGAATTTCGCGAGATTCTTCTAATGATGTCGCTCCTCCCTCCCCCTTCCATCAATTGCCGAATTTCCACGAAAGGGTCTTCGGCAAATTGGTTCCTCGGACGAGATTTTTGATTGGATCGATTCTAGGAACCACTCTGCGTTGGAAACGCAAAACGTTCTCGCTCCAAAAACGCGATTTTTAGAGGAAGAGGAGGAGGAGGAGGAGGGATGCCAAAAACTCTAATTACTTCCCAGCAAGAGGGATCGTAAAAGTTTGCAGGGAGGGAATTTTTATTAATAAGAATTTTTTGATTGATACTTTGAGGTTGGAGATGCAAAACAGAAGGTTGTTTATTAGTATATTATTAGCTATAAAATGACGATGCCCGTCAGGTAGCTGTCAATCCCGCGTGTATAGAGGAGAGAGAGGGGGGGTTCGGATGTCGTCGGTGACCGATGAGACCCGGCGGGTGACCTTGGAGGATGTGGCGCCAATACTGCGTGCCGGCATGCACGGAAACCCGCCATGACTCAACCCTGTTGTTTGCTCGTCCAGGGTTCAAACTCCCTTCTCAAGGTCTTTTTCTCTCTTTCTCTCTATCTCTATCTCTCTCTCTCTCTCTTTCACTCTCTGTCGCTCCTTCCAGCATCTCATCTTCGCCCTCATTTGTAAGACTATTATTTCGAAATTTTCAGGAAGTAAAACGATCCTCCGGGGGATGGGGGGTCGTTCAACCGCTCTTTTTTTCCCTCTCCTGCCGTTTTATCTCATTTAAGCACGCGAAATTCCGCTTTTTCTCCTCCTTTCCAGACTCCTCTAGGGGGGGAGGGTGCACGCACACAAACACACACCTGTCTGCCGCGTCTTATAAATCAGCCAATCGTGTAATTGTCTCTACGCTAAGTAGATGGCGCCAACGGTTCGGACCTCACCCGTTTTTGCCTCTTTACTCGCTCTCCGCTTGGCGATGTTTCGGCGCCACTACATCCCCCCCCCTTTTGTTTTGTTATTTAGAAAAAACACACACACACACACACACTTCGACGTGTTGCGGTTTTAGATGACGACATAAAAGAAAGGCGACGATTAAACAAAATAAAAATTAAAAAAAATAATACCCGAATGGTTAATTGCGGTGGGGTGTGTCGCCGTTCTTCTCTACATAATTTCGTTTTAGAGTTGCGGGGGAGAGCGAAAAATATCGAGTTCCTTTACCCTATTATTCGTCCTTGAACCGAATATTGTTTCTTTGTTTTTCCCCCTTCTGTTTTGCTTTTTTTTACCCCCCGTTTCCAGGGTCGAAAACGTTTCGGAGCCGCTCTCTCTCTGTTTGGTACGAGTTTTCATCACTGTAAGCCCCTCTGTAATTATAAAGGAGGGCTACAATTTAAATCACTTACGGCCAGGTCCGGTATTCATGCCTTATATAGCCCCAAATCATTTGTTTTTTTTTTCTTTATCTTTCTTGTTTTTTGCTGCCGCTTTTGGTAGTTTTCCGTGATCGTCTCGTGCATGCCTCTCTTCCTCCGTCTTTACCTCGATATAATTAACTAATTTTGCTGTAAATATTGGCATAAAATGTTCCCAAACGAAAATTTCTTTCCTTGAAAAGTTTTAATTATTATAATTTAATCTGTGTTTTTTTTTTTCTGTATATTTAGATGGGGAATTTATATGCGATTTTTCTGTCGTTCGAATTATACATTGCTGCAGTTAGAATGAAGTATTTAATTGGCTACTTTAATGAGTAATTGATTGCGGAATACTATAATTAATTAACTCTTTAAATGTTTTGTTTATTAAAATTAAAAAGAATGTAATTTTAATTACTATTAAGTGGGTGTTTAATGATGATTAAGGAGGAGAAATACGGGTCTTTAATTAATTAATTAAATTACAAAAGCCCCGCTGACCATTGTCGACGGCTCTTCTTTTTATGCAAACGGAGGCAGAGATGCCGCGTCTTCGTTTACCCCTAAAATAAATGTCCGAAAATTAGAATTTTAGTGTGGTTTTTGTGCCGAACCGAATTTAATCGAATGCATTTGCATATTTTTGCAGATCAGAGCCTAGAGTTGCAGTGCCGTTCGTTGTTCCAAGAATTGGCCCTTCAGCTCAGTCTGGCCATGGTGACACTTCTGGTCGAGAGAACCACTGTCCTGCTCAAGGAACACCTTGCCTCCGACGACTATCCGACGAACCTGATAAGCGAGGATTTGGCCCCCCTATTACCGGCCATCAAAATCTGGACCGACTGGATGTCCTGCCAGAGACATTTGTGGTATCCGCCACCGACTCCCAGCGACTTTAAATTTGGGCGAGTGTTTTTTTTCGTGATAAATTCGGACGTCCTATAATTATAAGATCGCTTTTAATAAAAGGATATTAATACATTTCTACATTATTTTGTGTTTAAATTATTACTTTTTTGTAGATTTATAACTCAAAATATAAACAGTTCTCGGTAAAGCCGATACAATCAGTTAACTTTCTAGTTTTTTTGATACGGATATTATAAGGTAATAACCAAGGTGATAATTAATGTTTTCCTATTACAGGTATAAAGACGACGTGTGGACTGCCTTCGCTAGTTTATTGACTGTTTTACGAACGGTCGATATAAGTGATATAGAAATGGTCAGAGACAGTGAAGAAGGTAAATTTTAGGTTTTTTTTTTTTTTCTGAATTTTAATCAAAGCATTAATTCTAGTTTTTGACTGTAATGATGTATATAAATAATGATTATCGTTAGGTTACGAACTAATTAATCTGCCCGAAGACACCACTCTGGCTGGCTTCGTTCCTTTGTTGGGAGCTCCCGAAGATTCGTTTTTTGCAAAGAAACCATTTGATCAGGTACTATATTTTTTTTTTTTTTCTGAATTTGTTTTGAATAATTTTTCATATTGCTATTGGATTCACTCATAAAGTTAAAACTTGCAGAAAGGGATGGGCAATTGCTAAAGCAGTTAGGCATGAAACACCGAGGTATACTAGCTTATGTCTAAGATGGATTTGCAAATTTTTATGTACAGTCTGACACCATTCCTCTTCATTTCACTGTCCCTTTGTGGGTCTGGCCCTTGATCAAATATATCTTTTTCGAGTCTTTTTACCCCCTTGGGCAGTGAGAGACTATCTGGCATAACCATTATTGTGATTGAATTTACTTCTCTAGAGTAGGATGCTTGAAATCTGTGTCAGATATGTCTCGTCATTCGATTTAAAACCGTCAAAGAGCGTATTTGCATTAGGATAAAGAAAAATGATACGTAAAATGGTTAATTCTTTTTACCCTGGAGAAAGGGGTGATAATTTGGCGCTGTGTTAAAAGTACCATTGGCAAAGATATTGTTTTGTAACATAATCAGAATAAATTATTAAAACAATTACATTTGGTTTTTTCTTTTTTTAACTTGTGCTCATTCTTCCACTTTTTTCCTTCGTGATAAAATATATTTAATTTTAAAAATAGTTACATTTAATTATTGCTTCAGGTTTTAAGCTTGTGTTGTGTTTTGATGTCAAAAATATGTCCTCTTTTGGTATAAAAATAACATTCGTGATTTTTTCTTTGCTTCTGTTTTTATCATGCAACATTTATGGACGTTTAATCCTTTAATTACATACGTTTGGGACATGTTGGGTCGGATGTAAGAATTTTTTATTATAACGTGGAGTAATAAATGCGTTATAATCAAAGTTTTGCTCGATCTCTGCTTACTTGTTTTTACAGGAACGTGCGAGGCATTGCCTGAGAATCAGTCGAATTCAATTTTTTGGTGATTATCTGTGTGGAATTCCCATACCATATTTGGAATTTGATGTCGAAAACAAAATGTTTATTTCATTGGTATCCAATTTATCGGCCGAAAACACAGAATCGGGACAGGATGTGTGCTACGAACTGGTAAAAAAAAAAATTTTTATTTTGTAGGCTGTACTTTGTGTTTTATTTAAGCTAGTAATGAGAGAATTAGAACTTTTTTTTTTTTCTCTTTTTTTCTTCTTCTTCTTTCTGTCTGTAGTCTGATGATGACGTGAACAAGGACATCTTTGATGACGACGACGACACTGAAGGTAAAAATTCTGGTCTGAAAGGCCAGGAAGAAAGTGATATTCAAGAATTATGGTCGAGAAAAGAAGCTCTAAAGAAAACAAAAGCCCAACAGGACAGATATCGTGCCAAAATCCAAGTGAGTAAAATGCAACCAGACTAAATTTATCAAAAATTCAATTAACATCGTTTAAAATTTATTTTTACAATTAGAAAAAAAAATCTTACTATAGTCAATAATAACTATCAGTTTTTTACAAAATTAAATTTTGTACACATACACACACATATATATGTATATATAATCTTCTACACGCAATTCATTTCCATCTCGGAAACTCATTTAAATCACGCATTTAATATCCGGCAGGAATTTGTATATTTTTATCATTCAAAAAACAAAAAAAAATTTTTTTTTGTTTGGAAGATATATTTAAAGGAAGGAGAGAAAAAAAACTAAGATGCAATTTAGAGGTATCGTTTTTGTTTGAATAATATCTAAAACTGGAAAACGAATAATTGCTTTAAAATAAAAACTGATACTATTGTCCGACCGTAAAATATGCAACAGGTTTTTTTTCTTCCTCTTTCTTCTCCTCCTACTCCTCTTTTTTCACAGTTTCAATTATGATATTTTCGCATTATTACCACCAAACTACAATTTATTTGAATTATCTTGCGTGCATTTGCTGTCTTCGGATTCAGTCGACTTATTACGTTCGTCTCCAAGTAAATACCTACACGGATAGATTATTTGCAGGAAAAAAAGATTAATAATTATAACATTTACCTTTACTATATTTTGGTTTATTTTTAGAATTGCCACAGAAATTAATTTATAGAATTTAACATTTTTCTCTATTTTAATAAATCTGTGACATTGCTCGTACCTTAAATTGACGTGAAGTGTTTCTTTCAGTTCGGTTGCGTGCCTTTGTTTCGGAGTAGAATTTATTTTGGCCAGAATTGTAATAGTAAAAGAACATTAAATAATTGGAAACGATCGCAAAAAACCGAGGAGAATTTCTATTATTCGGAAATTTAATTTAAAATTTAAAAGGAAAAAAAAAAACAAAAAAAGAATAAAAGAAGCTAATGTAAGATTTTGTTGCCGAAATGCGGTATAAAAACAATTAAAATATTTAATTATAATAATCAAATAATTTAAATTTTGGAATCTTAAAGCATGCCTGTTTGTGAGTATTTTGAAACATTTTTATTTTTAAATTTAAATTAACATTTTTAAAATTATAATTTTCTAAAGAATTTGAATAATAATTAAATTCTTTGGAAAATTATGTTCTGTAATTGAATTAATTTTGATTCAAAATTAATTTTTTTTTTTTAATTAATATCTTTATATCCTGTTCTGTTTTAATATAAAAACTTGAAATACTCGTTTGGGAAAAACTAAACTACTTTACATTGATCAATTTATTGCACCAGTTGCCTATTGGAACATATACACTTACTCGGATTTACACTGGTGTAGGGCATTTGGGTGCTCGAGACGAGCTCGCTTGGGTCCAGACCAATTTGAAGGTGCAGAAAAGACACCGTGAGACAGTTTGTCACTTATTTATATTGTTTCGGATGATAAAAAGTTGCAAAAAAATAATCTTTTGGATCTTTTGTAACTCGGCACACCTCCGAGTGTTGAGCGAAAAATCACTTCACGGTACCGGTGCTTGCTTAAAGTACATTGTTTCAAGTGAATGCATGTACAGTACATTAAGATAACTGAATATAAAGTCTAATGCAAAGACCAAATAGTATGAATTTGGAGGCTTTACGGAAAACTTAACACTACAAATGGTTGGTTGTTTTGTTGTGTGCACTTCAGTATATGTAAAGAAATGATGGTTGAAACAGAATGAACTTTGAGCATCACTCGTTTGGGCTTAGCATCAAATTTACTAAAAATCTAAGCTTTTTTTTATTAATTTGGATGCATAAAATCTTTAGAAAACATTCCCACAGTGTAAAGAATCTTTACAACAGAGGTTTTTTTATTGTTTCGTTTTGTTTTCTGGCAAACAAACCCCCAAAAAAATGGAAGTAGTCGAGTGGAATTCTAATTATTTCTGATACCAGTTTTAAAATAAAACGCTAATGGAGTCGTTAGGTGTCATAAGTCGCCCTTGACATTGGAAAGTATTTGCATAAGTGAAGCGGAACCCATAAAGTCACCACTGCATGTTAGAATTTAATAGCTAGAAGCAATCGAGCGATAGGGTGTGAAACAATCATGTCGTTTCAAAGTTTGACCATAACAGACTGGCGCCAGTTAAATCGTCTGATAATACTTTACCTAAAACTAGTGTGTCACACTTAGTAATTTTTATTATTATTTATTTAATTTTTTTTTTTTTTGTTCTTTTTATCTTCTCTTTTCCCAATCCCGAATTTTAGGCGGTGTTGCAGGAACATCGGCACAAACGCCCCACCGTTCTCGAGGTTCGTCCCCACTACCTGATACCGGATACCAATTGTTTTATCGATCATCTGGAGGGGTTGAAGAGCGTCGTGTCTTCTACTCACTTTGTCCTGGTGGTGCCCATTGTGGGTAGGTATCGATAATTAAGACGCGTGCATCTGTCCCGTGTGTCGTGACCGGTAAACGCGAGCAAAAAGTAAACACATCCGGTGTGCATTTCTAGAATTCCTGATAGTTCTGGAAGAGTGGAAGGGGGGAAACACACTCATTGCCTAGTAAATCACAGGTGTTGCGAGGTATTCTGCTCATTTTTTTCTCGTGTTTTTTTTTTTCCTTCGGAATGATAGTTTTAGGAACCACGATACCCCACGGCACCCGTATAATCGAATTTTGAGTATATGGTAACCCGTGAGCGTTGGATAATGAAGCGCTTCTGAACGTTGACCCCCCTCTTAGCCCGGGGTTTAAAAAGCGGCGTCGGTTAATCCGGAAGGGGGATTTTTATATGTCGAAATATTTTTCAGTCATCAACGAGTTGGACGGCCTGGCACGTGGCACCCGGGAGAGTTCGTACATATCGGCCGAACACGTGAGAAGGGTGGCTCAACTGTCTAAGGAGGCCATTCAGTTTTTGGAAGAGAGATTCGCATCGCGCGATTCGCACGTTCAAGCCATCACGTCGAAAGGTTCCATACTGGACACCATCACCTTTAGAAGCGAAGACGTCAGCGACAATAAGGTGAGTATACCCTAAATTCGGTTAGCTGGCGGGGGTCAGTGATAAGAGAAACCGGTCGCGACCTGGTCAACGTCTGAACTGGCGGGAGATGGCAGTGAACCGAAATATAAGAGAGGTCAAGGACGCAGAGGACATCGGCTGTGTGTGAGTACTGACACGTTGACGTGGAATAAAATAAAATCATTTATTCGCCGGAGCCAATGATAAGAGGATATCCGGATAAGTGATGGAAAGCGAATAATTATCTCGTGTCCACCATTCAAAGATTGAAACGAGCGAATCTCGTACCTCCTTAATGAACGTCTCTCATCCCCCTTTAATTTGAATGTTTCGTAACCTTTTTTTTTATTTGTTTGTTTTTTTTTATTCTTTCTGGTAACGTGCCATCGTCAACGGGGGCGGGGATGTCCGACACACAATGCTTCGACCCACTGACCCCTACATTTGTCACTGTCAATGGTATTGTTTGCATCTGCGCCTCCGACTTTGTAAACTGATTAGTGATTTGCTTACGTTTACAGGGTACCAACGATGATCTCATCCTTTCCTGCTGTCTTCATTACTGTAAAGACAAAGAATCCACGAGGGAGGAGAGTAAGTGACGTTTCTGACGATCGCCCCCCCTTGCACTTTATTATAATGTTAAATTTTTTTTGTTTGTTTTTTTTTTTGCAGAAGGTTCCGTCCGACTTAAGAGGGAGGCGATTCTTCTCACCGAAGATCGCAACCTCCGAGTCAAAGCATTGACTCATAACGTGCCGGTCAGAGACCTGCCCGAATTTCTGAAATGGGCTAACATAAGGTGAAGAAACGTTGAAACGAAAAAACGAAGAATGGAAGCTATCAAACTAGATTCTGGTTTGGAATGACCGGACCCGAAGATCACACAGCCTAAAAACCGTGATAGGGTTGCCCGTAGACGAAGAACAAGAAGGAAGTGATGCACACCATCACCCCCCATCATACACACAAAAACACGGAGAAACGAAGCATTAAAAAAAAAGTAAACAAATAAATAAATAAAATGAACAACCGTAAAAGTCCATTTGAACTTGCACAGCGATTCTCCCGTCGTCGTTTCGGTGGAAGGTGACGGTTTTTTTTTTTTAAAATTAAATTAAATACGTGTAACATGCGGTGAAGACGTAACGTGCATCGATCGAGACTCGAATGCTCAGTCTTCGTAACACACACAAACCCGTATCGTCACGTTTGCTAATGTACGATACGAGAAGAGTTCCGTCACCAAACAGCGATTTCGAACCTGGACCCCACCTCGAATCCAGTGTGTAAGCTGCGAAATATACACACCTTATAAATCCACCTGTTTTTTTTCTCCCCTAGTGTATGTACATTCACGGTTTTGTTTCTTTTGTAATTAGCACATTCTGAAACGTGGTAGAGTGTTCTCTCGTTACCTTGTTTCTTCCACAACGACCTTCGTTTTTATGTGGTGTTTCTGTTTTTTTTTCTTCTTCTTTTTTCTGTTACAATTAATAATAGTTTAACAAACTAACAGTCGGGGTGTGTGTGTGTGTGTTTGATTTTAAAAACGCCATCCTCCGTTTCCGATTAAAGTAATATATAATTTCCTACAGGATACTTAATTTATCACATCAGTGATCGCGAAGAGAGACACAGAGAGAGTCAGTAGAACAGGGTAGAGAGTGGAGAAAGGAAAAAAAAAGAGTGAGTCATATCTCTGCCAGCACCTTGTATTGTGTGTGTTGGAAACGTGATCCGCTTGCTTAATAAACTGCAAAAGTATCGAGACTGCAATACAACACTTAACTAATTATTCGCCATCCTAATTAGCTTACTGTTAAAAATACTTTTCCTCCCCCTCCCCTCCCTCCTCGATTGTATCTCTAGTGTTTTATACACACATACACACACAGAGAGAGAGAGAGAAAAATGGTGATTTTGACCCCTAACAGCGGACTCGGCTTACGTGTTGTGTCGTTCCCCCCCGACACACCGGATCCATCCTCCCCCCTCCCAGTGTACTTAATAAGGATTCGAATACGGGTGCTTCTTATTGTTTCCTTTCTCTCCGCTGATTCTTTGTTAATTTTTTTTTGACAAGAAATAATTAAGTCACCCCCCTCTTGAACGTGGCTCTTCGTGCCTTCGATACGCGCACAAAAATGTTGTTTTATAAAGAAACAATTGTAGAATTTTGTAAAAAAAAAAAAATACAATACAATACTGTCAACAGAACTTGTCGGTATGATTTTTTTGTGGATTTTAAACCCATTTTATTATTGTGAAAGACGTTTTAATAAAACTATGATGAAACAGTTCACTGGGTAGTGTCGTCTTCTGTGTTTTGCACTCGCTAGATGGCGCTACGGGATTTGTGTGGGGTTTAAATTCGGGTGTTCGGGGCCACGTGATCCGCGGAGAAAGTTCGTTATTGAGGTATTTTTCGATCGCTATTTATAGTGACGTGAATCACATCCGTCCGCGCGTTTAATTAACCATAAACGGGGGGGTTAGTTGGAGCAGTGGGGCAAGATGACAATTTGGCCCGTCTCGAGATCGTTTTACGCTCCATTTTTTGTAACGATCGTCGGTTTGTCTGGTCGTAATTTCGTAACGATTTGCGGTGCATGTTAAGGGACGTTATTTTGTTCTATAATTTTGTGGTGTGTGCGCGAACGTACCGAAGTTTGGCACATGGCATTACGGCGGAGAAATTCTGGCCACGTGGTGGTGTCAGATTCGTGACGTAAAATAGGGAGGGGCACGTGACAAAATTGGTAGAATATTTACAAACGTGAGTTTTGACACGTGGTGTGATTTCGTAACACTACAAACTGTTCGTGACGTGAAATCTAACTAGAGGGGAGGATCTCCTCAAATACATACACATACAACGTGACACTGCGCGTGAACTACAACGAGGTCCTGGTGTAAAGCCGCACGTCTAAGCCACTCGAGCCGAATTTATTCGTATTATATCATTAAAAACGGTGTCAATGGCCACGAGTATCAAAAGTTCGCGCGTGCCTCTTCAAAGTACATCTTGGTTTAGCCGACGAACTTCCCCTAAAACTAGGTATTCTGACCCCCTTTTTTTGTGTGTGTGTGACGAATAATTTACATAAGATCGGTGGCGTGATCCTTAAACTAGTGTAGGCGTATAGTATCACGACTCAGTCGCCTGGTGTCTTGTCTGTCTGTCTGTCTGTCCGTAACGCTGGTTTTTTTTTTATCTCCTTTTCTCGAAAGTTTTACTCTGTAGAGGCGCCAGACTTGGGTGATTCTTCTATTTAGTGGGAAGAAGAAGAAGAAATAATTTTTTGTGTGTGTTTATATATATATATAATTCATTTTGCCGCTTTGTTGAAGCGTGAAGGTAATTTTTATAGTGTTTTAATAGAAAAATTACTTAAGTGTTTACTACCAAATGCATTGTAATGCATGAATAATTAGTCATTCTAGTAGGGAAGTCACTAAATGATGTGCAACTTAGTGGGAAAATTATCGTAATTATTTCGGTTTTTTGGGTAGGAAAATCACTGATATTTCTGTTACAAAATACTGAAATTCAAATTCCTACTAACAGCAGTAACTATTATAATGATTTAATATTTAATAGGAAACTTATTTAGTAGGTAATCGCTGTAAATTCTTTCTTTCTAGTGAGAAAATTATGGAGAAACCACTAGTATTTCGATTTTCAGTAGGGAAACCATTGTAATGCTCGGGTGTTTTTGGTGTAGAGTTTACTGTAATGATTTAATTTTTAGTAGGAAAACTACTGTAAGGTTTCATTATTTAGCAGAGAGATCAGTAATAGATTTAATATTTAGTAGTAAAATGATTATTATGGCTTATTGTTAATAGGAAAACCACACAAATTTCTTACAAAATAGAATTTTAGTAGGAATTGCTTTGTGTTTAGTGGGAAAACTGTAAAAGTTAGTAGGAAAAGTAGTGAAATACTCGATTGTTTAGTACATTAACGCAGGATCAGCTACTTTATTGAACATTGAACAGAGATTTAACACCAAAAAAAAAGAAAGGAAATTTGGGGAGATTCGGCAGTGGTTTTTTTTTTTTTTTAACAATTTCACTACCGTTTTGAAGGCATAACCTAATTCTATTTACACTTTCCAATATGAACTAGATACAAAATAAATGAATTTCCATTCTTTAACAAAAGTTCAATCTGTTGAGTTATTAATTATTTATTTATTTTTTAATTCGTTTCATCTTGAACTCGCCCCAACAAAAGGCAAACTTAACGGTCGCCATTGTTAAGAAGCAAATTAAAGAATTTGGCGACTGACTAATGACTCGTTACTTTTCCGGAATCTATTCATCACCTTTTCTTACTTGTTCATTTTTGTTTGAATTTTTGCGAAAATTCCGACATTTTTTCATATATTTTCACTTCTCCTCCCCCCTCTGTAGAAATTCTTGTATTCATTCAAAAAATTCACCCGGAAGTTATCCAGTGCTTAATTACGTAAAGGTCAGATCCTTTGCTGTGTTTATTTTTTGATGTAATCTAAAAATATTACGGCCCCGCCTTATTAATTTCACTGTAAAACCGTTATCCTTAACTTAACACGTGATAGCGTTACACAAAATACCGTGTAACTACGTCACGCCACGTCATGTTAGTTCAGTAAGTTGTACATTTTGTATGTAAATTAGCGGCTTACTTTTGGCCCTTTCGTTCTGTGGAATCGCCTTATTTTTGGCCCTTTTGTTCTGTGGAATCGCCTTACTTTTGGCCCTTTTGTTNTATCTATCGATTTTTTTTTTTCGAATTTATTTGTTAATTTTACACCCGTCTTGTGTCATCTCACCTCATACTTGGTTCCTTTCACTTCTTCCGACGTGTTATTTTTCGAAAAAACAAAGTGAGTTTACGTATGGATTTTATCATTTTTCTTCTAATTTAATAAATACCTATTCAGGGTGGGTCAAAAGTCAGTTAACAGTATACAGAATAAGACGGGAATTAAGTGGTTAACCGAATTTTAGGCCACTCTATCTCCATTGTTTCATATTTCTCCCTCCCCCCGTTATAAATTTATCGAATTTATTTGTTAATTTCCAGAGGAACCAACAAATGTGACGTCGTGGTAATAATAATCTAGTATTCCTCTGACGTATTTCGCTGTATTCATGTAGGTTTTCTTCAAAAATAAGCGCGTGTTTATGTGAAGATTTTCTTTATAAACGGGCGTTTTTTTTTCGTTAATTCGAGGAACGTACGTTACCTCATATAAGGAAATTATAAATTTTTTCCTAGTTGTGAAAAATGTGCAAGGATGTGGTATAAATTTGCCACTCAGCATGCTTCTGTAACACTTGAAGGTAACCACCTACCACCAAATTCTCGTTAGGGATGAAAGGATTTTGATATTTCTTAGCACGTTCCTTCTGAGAGAAAGTTTAGGGTTTTTTTTTTCTTTTTTATTTGTTAATTAAAAGCTATAAGAGATAGAGATAAACTCCATACATTATCTAGATCAGACAATAGCGACTGAATTATGTGTTCGGAAATTCGTTGCAGTATGCAAACGTACGAGTTGTAAACCGGCCAGTATCAACAGTTCGTTGAACTTGAAACTCCCAGACGGTTGGATGTAAATTTTATGAAATTGTGACACGAGGAGGATTTTAACAATACCTTAGAACGGCATCACAAAGTATTAGTAGTATTTGTAGTAGTAGTAGTAGAACACTTGAAAAACTTTCATGCCTTCTTTCCCCTCTATCTCTTATCTACGAAACATCACCCCTTTTCGCAGCGTAAAGGAACCACTTAAACAGCACTTCTTACCAATCTTTACATCGGTACAGGGGGATTTTTTGGTGAGGAAAAGACATAAAAGCTCAAAGTTTACGCCTTTACATAACAGACGGTGGCGTCCGAGTTTGAAAAATGATAGTAATTTACAACACGTCACATCGGACGCTACATAAATCACGTGCAGATGAGGGTGCTTTAAGTTTCCCCTCCGTCCACAACACCGTGCTAAGGGTGGCTCCCGTAACCTTGAACTTTAACCACCGGATCTCAAGGCCTTTTCGAGATTCCGTTCGTCTGTACAAAAATGGGGGTGCAAAATGTTTCTTCAAAGAAAAAAAGAAAAAAAAATACACTAAATTTGCATATAAATGAAGCTGGCTGATATATATTTAATGCGATTGCGTATACAGTCTGTCCGGTATGCATTATAGAAATGAAGAGCCTAAGGGTGTGGTACCCACGTGAAAGACCCGAGGTAGAGCCTCGGGTATCACTAAATCTTCGTTTTCACTTCGTCTATGGCTCGCTATGTATGCAGCACTCATATCCTATTGCTTATTAGTGGTCCACTTACAAGATTTTTTTGCGGTTTTGCTCTGACAGTTATTGATGGGAAGGTATTTAAAACGAGAAAATAAATTATTATCGAACGAGAGATTTATGCCTCTGTTATTATATTCGTACAATTTCGACTTCTATTAATGTACAAGATAGATGAAAGTCGAAAATTAGTGCATCACTTAACGAATAACACGTGAAATTATTCTTGCTACATAAGAATTTATTAACTTTTTTTTCACCATTATAATATTGGTCTACAACACTTAAGATTCGCAGTTTTGAACACTAGCCGAGTTGTTTCCGTTGTTAACAATCGCAATCGAGTAATAATTAAGTAATTGTAACAATTAGAACGGGCAGATTGTTCTAAGGAACGACGACTATGGTGTCGAAGAGGAGACAACCTCGCAGCACGCGCGAAAACTCGTCCCGTTCGTCCAAGAAGCGCGTGAAGACACGTAGAAGAAGACCTAAACGACCCATGTCGCCGTTTCTCCATTATTTTAAGAAGAATTACAGAACGATGATGTGTAATCATCCCGATATGCCTATCACCGCCATTGCTAAAGAATTAGGCGCGAGGTGGAGATGTTTATCTGATGCAGATAAAACAAAATTTGTGGACGCTTCAAAAAAACAATGGGAGAAGTATTTTAAGAAGAAGAATTGTTAACAATTCCGGATCCATTTTTCAATAATTTAAACAAAATTTCGAAATTTCATCTACTTTTTGAAAAAAAATCATCAAAATTCATCATAAGTTCTTCCATTGAGAATAATGCAAAAATATTAAATTATTCATAATAAAATGAGATAATATGCTTGTTGGTGATGCCAACAATCAGTTCGATTTAATGGACACAATACAAAATTGTTAAATAATTGTTTAATAGTGCTTTAACGAAATCCTTCAATAAACTTTTTTAATTACGGAGACGTTTCTATTAATTGTCTTTAATAAAATCA